GCCTTAGACACTTGAGCCACAGGTGCTGAGCCAGTGATTTCTATGTGTAGGGTGACACCAGCTACCTGAAATGATCAGAGAAAATGCCCTAAGCAACATCATTTCAGGGACAAGTCTGAAGTTGACAAGTGGCTGTTCAGGGAGAAAAGTGGTGGGAATATCCTGTGCCAGGGCTCAGAGTTATAAAACAGCTTGATATGCTCAGAAACCAGTATAGACCCCAGCTCAGGGGTGTAAGGTACCTGGGGGAAAGGAAGAGTGACCGGCAGTGGGACAGAGTTGGCAAGGGCAGTGGGGAGCCCTTTTCAGGTTCAAAATAGCCAGTGTACTGCAGTCTTGTTCCTGGGGGCCATGTGGAGAAACAATTGGAGGGAACTCAATTGGATGCAAAGACAGTGCCTCAGCAACCACCAAGAGTGGCCCTCCCTGCACATCTGGGTTATGAGCTGTGAAGCCAAGAGTGAGGGATGGAGCAGGGTGGGCAGCAGAATGAGTGGCAGGGAAGGAAGAGCCTAACACATCTAGGCAACTGACTCCCATGGTGGGGGAGAACCTTGAGTTACTTTGGGTTGGGATGAGAGTGAGGAGCCTGTGAGCTGTCCAAGCTGAGATGCCAGAGCCCAGGTTTTGAGTGGCCAGTATATGTGACTGAAGCCATGGGGTGGGGGCGTGCAGAGACTACATTTAGCAATTGGAGGGTACAGAGAAAGAAGCTGCTGCCAGGGTGGCTACAGGGGCAGGGGTGGCAGAGCACACGGAAGGCTAACAAAGAGCTTCCAGAAAGGGCCTTTCACGAGTGGGGCAAGGTTAGGAGCAGGTGGTCAGCCCAGCCCTGGCAAGACTGCAGTTCCTGCTGATCTGCAGGTACTCCAACCTGGACCTGAAGACCCAGGAAGCCTATGAGATGGCCGTAAGAGGCTTGATCCGGCCCATGAACAAGTCCCCTATGCTGATAACTGGCATCCGATGCCTTCACTTTGCACCTCCAGAATTCCTCCTAGGTAGGTTGCCCCAGGAAGCTGGAGCACTGAGTTGGGGTCCCTGGGCTTGGGAGTCACCGTGCAATGCTTTTGCAGAGGCTGCTGTCCTCTGCCTTGGCCAAGACAAGCACAGCAGCCCTCATCTGTGCTGCCCAGGGCATTGGGCGCTGACTTCCTTCCAGCCATTGCCTGGACTTTGTTGATCACAGCACACAGAACCAAAGCTCTCCTATCTCCTGCCAAGTCACCCTTTGAAGTCAGACCTTAAAA